TCTTTGTGCCCTTCCTTCGTATTGTTCAATTGCCGTTTTTCATCGAACACCATACCAGAACTCGATACAAGGTGTAGAATAACGCAGTCACTTGCATCGTTGAGCCTGAAGGTCATTTCGGACGCTTTTGTACGAAATTCCTCAAACCGCTTGCACACTGATGATAAAAGAGTGCACCCACTATGTCTGCCATTTTTGTGAAGCCAATGAACACAATATTTTCATGAGTTCTCACGAAGAAATGTCTATCAAAGCACACAGCCTTGAAAATCAACTTTCAGGGTTACGGCAGCGAAGCTGTATTGAAAGGTTCGTACTCAACTCTTACGGCTGTTCGGAAAATCACCGAACATTGCCTTCACCATCTGAAACGCGGATGGTGCATTCCTCAGGTGCCTTGTTTTGTCAAAACGTCAACTGGAGCATTTTAGCTGGGTGGAAAAACGTAATCACAGCACAATAACCTGGATCAGAATGATCGAGGGAAGTCGGTGATTTTCATAAAGGACACTACTCACAAGGTTGCTGAAAACTGTTTGACAGCCCACGACCGGTTTCGTCCTTCTTGAGGCTCATCAGGTAGGCGCAGTCCCCAAGTTTCCGTCAACTTTGTGTTCTACCTTAACCCAAATTGGACTGTTTTTGAGAAATACACTCACTTGCAAATCAATTTGGTGATTTGCTATGCTTCGGATTTCGGGAGAATCGTAGTTCAGATAGACAGATGGTCTGAAATGAAACGGTCGTAAAAAACTTTCAGTGAAGCTGTAAACCAAGTCAGTAGACCAGTTATTCATTCAGGTTTCCCGGAAAAGTTCAAACCACTACTTTCATGTGTATTAAAAAATGTTGCATGGCCCATGTACTTTTTGGAGAACGATATGGGTTGAAGAGAACCTCACAATGCAATGAGAAGTCATAGTGTTGACTTGTACAGTGCTTTCAACACGAAAGCTTCGTCAATCCAAACGACGAGATTACACGATCAGATGAGTGGTAAGGTAGATGGAGAAACATTCAACATGATCTTTTCTCATTAACGGTCCAAATTAGTGTTAGCTACCTTCTAATATACTTTGTTATGGGTGAACACGTTTGAGGGTCGATGACCTAGAGGAAACCTACATGAATTTCCAGCGGGGAAAACGTCTGGTCCATTCGATTGTCGCTTGAAATTTCGGTCCATCAAGGAGTCTTAGCGCTACAACTCTTCTTGAATTCCAGTCAGGTTGGGCTCCCTATTTGGGCACAACTGACTTCTATAATGTTTCATGGCCTGCAACCACACAATGCCACTTGTCCATTCGATTTATATCAAGCCGTCCTGGGTGGGTTGTTTCCTCCTAGGTAGTGAAGGTTTCTGTTGGCAACCAAAGGTATTCTGACCTACCGTATGACGCCAAATAAATTGGTTGAGTGCCAAACCGATCCAAATCTTAACTGAAATCCCCTTATAACCTAAAGTTTGGGGATACTTCACGTTGCTGTTAGTGATGGAAGGCCAGCACTTGATGGGGAAAGAGCGTGACAGCGCGTGAAGGTCACCAAGAGTGGGTCTGTTGCAATCCAACCTTTAAAGCAACAAACTAGTGCGTTTATATCCAATACTTTACTGGAATTTTTTCACAAGCACTATCCCACTTGAAATGCAGAAAAAACATGACGGTTGGTCCAAAACTTCAAATGCGACTACCTGATGACAAGTTGACACTGGGAACCGTCAGATGCAACGTTTCGTGAGAGCAACTTCATAGCCGTACCTTGAAAGGGGCAGACAAATCGATGTAGGTGGAAGTTCTGGCTACAAGAATTTTCCTTCAAAATGTTTTGTTCAAATAATCAATTCATAAAGTGCAAACGTTGGGAACGCTAGTTTCGACACACGAAATCATTAGCAATGCAAACCCAATAGTCAATAGATGTAGACGAATCGCTTGCTCACGATGTTCTGCAACCAAACGTGCTATCCAACCGCCTCCTACTACGCCTGAATCATTTTTCAAGATATCAGTGTATTTTATGTTGACATGATACTACTTATACGATTGACTATTGGTTTCTCACAGTCCAACAACGTTTCCGTCGCTGAAAGATTCAGTAACTGAACATGGAGTCCGAATTTCTGTCAATCTCGATTCCCACTTGAATGCCAAGAATAAGTCTAACTGAAGGAAACAACCGCTTGTAAATTAAGCTGGTTTTAGCTGGTAACTCTCTTTAATCTGTCTTTCATAAATCTTCCCATAGTCACAGGCGAACACCAAATTAAATTTGTAGTTGTGTGTGAAATCCCCGGTGGACACACGTGAACTTTTAGTACGAAATGAGATAGATTCAAAGACTGCATGTACGGAATTGGTACCGTGTGCTTCGAGAGTTTTCATCAGTCTCAGGAGCAGAATGGTAGCGCTTATTTCCTGAACCGCCAGCTCCCAGAATCCCTGACAGATACCGAGAGCAGCTTCTGTAAATAGTATCCAGTTTTTGGAGTTTGTCCATATTAAAGCTGGTCATTATTGTTTATTTCTTAGACGGAATGGTTTTTTCAGGACGATTACATGTCGTGCACCAAGCAGGTACAGATTTTTTCGTATGCTGTGTCAAAAAATATTCCGAAAGATGCACCGACTATGAAATAACTGTATCACTCTTCAGAGCAGTTATGTATATTCCTACGTCAATGGGTTTTTCTTCTAGCTTCCCTCTAGTCTCCCAGTTGTCAGAGTACTTGTACACTAACTCTTCAAATTAGCTTAGAACCAACTCAGATGCTCTGCAGACTCACAAATTCAGTAGCCGATGACAAAATAAGAATAAATAGTTGAAGTTTTTTTGGTACATCAATGGTCACAGGGCCTCGACACAACCCTTGTTTTTCCTCATTCGATATCTGCCAGCAAGGAGTTCTTGACGACATCTAGAGGATAGAATACAATCCATACTTTAGATTACAGGAGCCACAACAGAAAATGTGGGTGGTACTTCACAAAAGGCCAATCAGGACAACCACTATCCTTAAAGAGCATCGTACACTTTCATTCACACTCCGTCATATCAGAGCGTATTTCATGAACCGTAACAAATAATTTAAATGTCAGTTTTTTCAAAAGGGCAGACGATCCAAATGTAGCAATTAATTTTCCCTGCGAAACGATGATATTCTTTATCATTTCTCACCTAGATTGGTCGTTTTCCGAGGGTTTTTATAAATCTTTTAAGAACGTTTATCTGCTTTTGTTTCTTTTTGCGCTTCCTGTTTGGTCTCATCGTTTTCTCCATCCTATGGGAAGTGCAGTTGCTTTCAAAGGTTCCCTTCGCCAGGCTATCGGTGTCTTAAATCCGACCATAAACCAACCAGAACACTAGCTATGTGGCAACTCGATAGCACTGTACACTCAAAGGACCAACCACGACTGAGGACGGGTTGTTGTTCTTTGTGTGCCCATATGCACAAGATCGATCAGTGTACTCTGAATGGCTCACCAAGCCACTTCACTACAAAGTAGCGCACTAAAATGAAACCTCGGTTTGTTCTAAACGTTCGCAGTTAAACTACCAAGCTCAGCGAACAAGCCAGCGGTCAGTCTGATCTACTAATACGTCCCTAACGTACCTACTGAATGTAATCGCCTCACTGAATATTCCGTTCTTCTCATCCGCACTTTCAAATGGCATGTCCCTTTGTTTACCCCAGCCTGTTCTGCATCTGTACTGCGTTCAGTCAGGATACTTCTCTACCTCCATCTATGTTATACATGGCGCAGGCCGAATTAATTGTTTCACTCAACTTTCGCACCTATTAAAGTGTACAGAATAGTTCATTTGGAGATTAAAACAACAGCTTTTCACATACGGCGGTAAAAATAATATGTTGAAATCAATGTATTGACAGTAATTTTAAAACCGGTTGTCACATGATTCTCTGAACTACCTACTACAATGGCGCTGTCCACATACTAATAGCAAGGCCCTACTGAAGTCGAATGCGCGGACCGAACGTTCAGATGTAGCACCCTTTCGGTGCCTAACTACCATGCCACCCGAAGGTTGCACGAGGGCTTGGATACTGCCAGGTTGCCCAAGCCTAGACAGGGGAAGTCGAGAGGCAGAGGTTGGGTTCAAACCACTAACCTTCCGGTCAGTAAATTCGCGCTCTAACCACTTGGGCCATCTCGCCATCTCGCACGGACCGAACGCATTATGTGGTATGCATTTTATACAACTTGAGAACGGTAGAACACCTAATCCAAATACGGTATGGATCGTGATATTTAGTAGGAAAGGCAAACCAAATGTAAGGAATTTACGAATGAGTTTCCCAGAGATATTTGCTTTTGGCTTGATGTCTGATTTCCCATCTTCTTTCAAAAATAGCACCTTTGGTTTCTTCGAGGTCAGCTATATTGCTGAAACGTATGCGACTTTAAACGAGAAATAAACTTTATTGGACAGCTCATTTTTCCAGCATCACCATCATTGTCGCGATCACGGACGTCGTCACCGTCGCCATCGTTGTCATAATCGTCGAGAATAGGAATAGCAAGAGCATTTTCGCTCGCTACAGCCATGCATTTTGTTAAGAAGTCCTTCAAATCCTGGACTGTTTTACACTACGTTAGTAATAAGCTACAACATCCTCGTTGCCCATATTGTCAGCTACCGTCACTTTCATAGACATAGCATACCGTTCCCATCGGTAATACTGTCGCGTGACCCTGGTTTCCCGCCTATCACACACCCTGTACTGCTTATGCGCCAATCTACAACTCGATGGAAGTGTACACCTCACCCGCGAACTTGGCACGCGCACGCACACACACACACACACACGTAGGCACACATCCACATGCTGGACTTTGGCGATTTTCACCAAGGCAACAGTCAGTCAAATTGGGATTGGCCGATTATGGTGGCCAATCCGACAAGGTACCTGTTTGAATGAATAAACTTGCGCCCCCGATTACTGACCAGTTTAGGGAGACCACCCATGGCTGATGATCATTCCACTCGTCCTCAGGACTACTTTGTGAACGCTCATCGGATTGTACTCGTTTAAACATTTATTCGTGTTTGTGTGACATGAATTCCGCAACTGGAGGTGTCGTTGCCTGGGCGGCGTTTCAAATTTGGACTGTGGTGAAAACCTGGGTGAGTAGCTGACATAGTTTTAAAAAGGTCATTTGGGAATGATACTGATGCCAGAAATTTGAGCCGTTTAGGCTGGTTTTTTCGTGGACATTCTTGTTTCACATTAGGACGGCTCTTTTACGGGATAGGGATACCCGTGTGTTATGATTTGCGGTGTATTTTAATTAATGCGTTGCGCAGTCGGGGTGCATTACGCAGGTCGCAACAGACTGCGCCGACTAGTACAACAGATACTTCCACAATTTTTCATGATGCATACTTTGAGTTCGAGTGATTTCAAGGACTCATTCTGCTCTCTGTGAAATCGGTGTGACAACGTACATCCAGCATGGGTATCTATGAAAATAAGAACGAAATAAGCAAAGAGCATCGTGGCTAAACTTCTGACTTCAATGAGGTCGCCGCAAATCAACGACTCAAAAGGACGGGAATGTGGTAGGCGTAGATTGTCATGGTGATTTGCTGGGAACAGTCGCCACAGTCGGGAGATTCCACAAAACTGGATGATTGTTATGTCCATTAGTATGATTACACACAAGCGTGTTGAACAGAGACCCCCTAAAGAGACCACTTCGTCCAGGCCACGTGTACTTTACCACTTGAATCAATGATACACTATCCTTAAAAAAAGGTGAGAAATCTTTGTCAGTTGTGGTCCTACACCTCTCACTATGTTCGGGCACTGGATCGCATATCGAATTGGTTTTACTGCGGTGTTTTATGGGTTCCCTGCGGTGCACATCCCTGCCAACCAAGCATGATTGTTGAATTTTCCATGCATCGGGAAAATTGAAAATAACAATATCTGTTCTTACCGCCAGCAGTATAAAGGTAGCTCAGAGGGAGAACAATTTCTTCATTCCATGAGCAAGTCGATACATGATATGGTTTTCATGATAGAAAGATGAGTGGTGCAATGTCTTGTTCAGATGAGAGCTAATCAAATCAGCAAGTCGATACATTTCCGCGTGATATGGTTTTCATGATAGAAAGATGAGTGGTGCAATGTCTTGTTCAGATGAGAGCTAATCAAAATGACAGTCGGCCGCTCTGGGTCAGCGGTCAAATACTCAACCATTGGATGGATGGCCGCGGGCTCGAAATCCTCTGAGTTTCGTTAGATTCGCCTTGCTGATGGTTCTCAACAAGGATAAAAACAGCTCTACACTGCTTCTCGGTACTTCAGCCTAGATTGGCTTCACTGACTAGATGAATTCTCTGTAGAAAAACACTAAAAACGTGCCAAAGTTTTGTTATCCAAGTCACACAATAAAAACCGATCTCCAATAATCCAGCGAAACATCTCAGGTTCTTCGATGAAAGCATTATGAAGAATAAGGTGTTTTATCCTTCAACTTATGACTTAAAATTGCTTAGTGCAGTTGGAAGTCCTCGTGGGACTCCGTTGACGAATTTTCAGCGACCTCAGGAGTAGTGTATTACGAATATATATGTATCACGATTGAAACATGAGGTGACCTGGTGCAGTGCATTCAGTTGGCTGAAAACATCACAAACGAGAGATTCAGCTTGGTTCCAGGTGAATCTCTCGCAAAACTAAATTAGTTTGCAAATGAATGTATTTCGCTAATCCTCGTGGGACATTTATCTATTGTTGCCATCGCCTTCACGTGCAGCTTCCCAAAAGCCCATTCGTGCACCCTGAACAGAAGTGCAGTGGCAAAATAAACGCGGGTTATTCTGACCCGGGATGCCCCTGCGCAGTCTTCTTCAAGTGTAATCTGTTACATAACGTCGTGCTCAAGATAGCACTTCCTTCAAAAAGGCATCTGCGAAATCAGCCATCTTGTAATTCTGACTTCACGATAGGTGCAAACTGATCGGGGTAAACGATTCCCAAAGGCCTGTAACTTAGGGTAATTCATCAATTTTGGTACTGTGCATTTTGATCAGTTGAAGGCGCGTTTTCTTCACTGTAGGCTACGTGAATCAGGTGTAAACTTTAACTGACTGATTGATATTGGATTGTCAGAAAATTCACTTATGATAACTTTTTGTAGACTATACTCTTTGGATGACAGAGACGACTAATCGAACCGCTTAAAGGGAGACCGCACGTAGTTTCGGGATCGTCAAAATAGTCACAAGGTACCTGCATTAGTAAACATGATATTTCTAATAAATGGGCTGTTAGGAACCTAGCAGAATCTGGAGTTGGTTGTTCGCTTCATCATAATTGAGTTGCAAACGGGAGTAAATAAAAGAGGAAAAACAGCAGATAACAAGTTTAATGAATAGTTGAAATGGGTTCCGTTTAACTGTCTCATCAAACTAAGAATTTCATCACTCCCTTCGAGATCCCTTGGGTGGCCCCCAATTTCGGGACCATTCTGGTCCATTCTCTAGATGGTCGTCACCCTATCTCTCGTTCAGGGTCAGTCGATCAATGAGTAACCGATAGCAACTTTGGAACGTTATGTCTCACTCTACACGTTTTAGTTCCATCTACACAACCACAGTCTTGATGAATTCAGAAAAGATGACCTCAGACCAAACGACTGTTGAGTCACAGTTCCGAACGTGATCACGCAGCCATCTTGTGTTTTCCCGATTCGGATGAACATTGAGTACACTTAATTTTTAACTGAAGAGTTTGCTGGTACAAAACGTAACCCGGCAAATCGCACGGATATTAGCGGGTCCTTGAGGGGCGTCAAACAGGTGCACACTGTTGACAGTGTTGGCGTCGAAGAGCTTTTGTGAGGATCCCACCTGTTCTTCGTGAATCTATACGGCGTGCCAACTCTAAGCCCACAGTTAGTTACCTCATTTGCGCACGCATAACTCGCACGCAATAAAAAGTGCGCAATCATAATCGGTCGAACTTTTTTGTCAGGCGTATGAATGGTAGGGTTAGATGTTTGAATGATTTTGAAACCCATTGTCAGTTTTGCTTATTTTAAACTTTCCGCATTTCGTCAGACCTACGGGGTGGCATATTTTGTGTCATAACTTTGTGGTAACTGTGTCAACCGTATAATTTCTAAATTTCTGTTTGGTGTTCTTGTTACACTCGCAACAAAATGACACTGCCTTAAACTTCATTGAAACCTGAAGATGACAGCATAAGTGAGGTCATCAGGGACCTCATGGAAGCCTTTACAACCGAAGGTTCGAAGTGGATCCAGTGGAAAAGATTTCTGCCCCTTACATAATGAAGAAACCTCTTATGACAAAGCGCCGAAAGCGTTGAGAATCTCACAGATAAAAAGTCTAGCTTCAGGGACCAAGGTCTAAACCAGTTGAAATAATGATCGATATTGCTACATTATATGATGTGTCAGTTCAGTTTGAATTTGCGGCCCACAAAACTTTCTCCAAAGTGAAATTTTTCCTGTTGCTACGGATACATTCAGCGATGATGGGAAGGAAATGGGAGTGACCCATTAGATGGAGTGGCCTAATTTGTGCATTGACAATAAATAGATTTGTTTGTACAGTGTGGCAGGGTGCTACGCGGTGAAGAAGTGGTTGCGTGACGCAGCTAGGCTCGCTAACCATTGGTTTGACTCGTCCGGTGACCTCTATCCAGGGGAGACAACAGTTATCAACACAACCGAGTTGACTGGTAATGGCTCTCACGCTTCGTTTTCAATTTATGGGCTAACTGCTTTCATCCTTGTGGTATTCGTGCTCAGCTGGAATTCAAACAATCTCAGTTAGAGTCAAATGCATCGGTCTGAACCAGCGAACACACTAATGAAACACATGGCGTATACCTTGTCATTTTGTCGCACTTTCCAGGATTCCTGTAAACGGTGTTTCCCAGTAGTACGTCCCTTCCATTGTCAACACTCTTTTCACCCCAAGTTCAAAACAAAAGCCAAAATTACTTTATCTGCGTAATCTGAGATAAACAAACTATCTCAGTTACTGCCAGGCTAATTTGTGTTTTACTAATCAGCTGGGTTGATGATGCATGGATCCATTCCTTGATTCTGATGCAGAATAAACACGTTTTGGATGATGGAAGAGCACTAACAGAAAAACATATTGTGGGTCCTCTGATACCAGCTTAGTCTCTTGAAGATGAGACAGTAGATTCTCAACGTCTCGTTTGGGGTTACGATACTTCCATCAAATTTAATGTCCAATAGCGAGCAGAATAGCCTTGAAGTGGGATCCGTTTGTTCGCTTGTCGCAGAAACAAGCAAAGAATCTGGTCAGGGAACGAAAATCCTTTTTTTGTACATCTAACATGCCCGGTTTGCTCACTACTCCGAAGCCAGTACCATCTTTCTCAAAGCCCTGTGACCCTGGCCACTTCAGTTCGCTTCAGTTTATCAGCGAACAGACCAGGTTCTGTTCTGTGGTGTGGAGTTAGGAGCAAATCATTTTTTGGCTTTTTGATTGATCAGAAGAATCGATTTGTGGTTCTTCAAGGCCCAACTTTAGACTAGTACCCTTGTTGTCTTATGTTACAAATTTACTGAGGATGATGTGAAAGTCAATTCTACAAATCCCGCAACCACCTACAAGTAATTCCACTGTAGCCTACCTGTTAGGAACTTGCTCCGGCTAGCAAAACCGCTTACATATGCCAACTGACTTATAGTCAAGCATGCAACAGGTTACTGTAGTCTCCAGAAACATTACATATGCCAATGACTTATAGTCAAGCATGCAACAGGTTACTGTAGTCTCCAGAAACATTTGTAATGCGTACGATTCAACATAAATATCTTTTTGTACTTCGCCGCTTGTGAAAGCAAGGTGGAGACAGTGATGTCCACGATTAGAAGACCATCCAACAGCTGCTGAACTCATATTGCCCCGAAGCAACTCACGTAGCTGCAGCTGCTTGCAGTAATCCAAAAATGTGGCACAGTTCACTTTGGCGTGATAAAGTACAACTGCTCATTCGAAGACATTTTCTGTAGGTATCTATATTAATTGATGTAAGGGAATTTGGCACTGAGGTTTAGTCATTCATACGGCAGTGAAGCATCGGTGTTGAACACTAATGTCATACTGTCGAT